AACTCGAGATATCGAGGTCCGACACACTATTGCACCACCCTGTATATTTTTCTCTGCTTTAATGCTTTTTACACCTAAAATTAAGAATAACTAATTAAGAGCGCCATTAAAATGATTACTGAGATTATTTAAAATTTCATTTTAATCAAAATAGGGGCAACATTTTAAACAATATTAGGTTACATTTACATACCTTAGAAATTTCGTGGTACCTGAGCTGATGCAATACACTAACGAATTTCTTCAACAAATATTCTATAGAATATGTAGTTTAGGTTTCGTAAAAACAATATGGAGAACGCAATAACCTGCTTAGCACGGTTTGTTTATAATGCTTTCGATAAAAATTCGATAAATTTGGAGGATCACATAAAATGTTTATTTAAAATTACCATCTGTTTTTTTTATGATCATAGTTTTTAGAATACAAAAAAGAGCTTTGCGTAAATAAGTTTCAATCTTGGAAAAGTTTATTCAAAGATTTTAAATTGCTCACAGTACCAAGTATATTTATTCATGAGATTGATATCTATTGAATGTAACAACCACTCCTCCTTTTTATTAGCTTCATCTGTATGTTTGCTTGCTTGCTTGTTTATTTGTTTGTTTGTTTGTTTGTTTGTTTGTAACCGACTCTTTGGACTCGATTTTGACCCACTTTAAAAAGGACAGATTTAATTGAAACTTTGTACACTTACGAAGAACCGGTAACAATACAATAATTTGATAAGTTTATATCATTATCCTGATCAGGATCGCCAGTCCTTTCCTCACGTATCCTCTGCGTGAGAGCAAAGGCTTAATATGTAAGTACATTCCATAATTGACAGTTAGGTCGGTGGTCGAGCGGGCTAAGGCAGTCGATGCGAAACGACAGACTCCTCGGGCGTGAGTTCAAATCCCATGGCTGAAATAAAAAAATATTTTTTTTTCAGAAATATCTGTTGGATCGTAATATGTTATAATATCAGCATCAATAAGCAATATAAATATAGTTTAAAAAAAAACTACAAAACACGCTTTCATAGCACATCAAACTAAAAAGTGAAAAATAAATATAGTTTAAAAAAACTAAAAAACACGCTTTTAAAGCACATCAAACTAAAAAGTGAAAAATAATTATTAATATAAACTGAAAACAATAATGACCGAAAAATACTAGTATTATTGTGAAAAAAGCGTGAGGCGCTTTGTGCCATATTTTTCGTATATCGAGTAACCTACGCTTTTTTTAACAATAATACTAGTATTTTTCGTTCATTATTGTTTTCAGTTTATATTAATAATTATTTTTCACTTTTTAGTTTGATGTGCTTTAAAAGCATGTTTTTTAGTTTTTTTAAACTATATTTATTAACTATTAATTTCAATCATGACTACGATAGCAGGAATTGCAGTAAGTTAGTAAATCCACAGCATAGTTTATCTGTATATGAAACTAGTCTCCTATATGTAGGCATTAAACTCTTCAATAAGCTTCCTAGTTATCTTAGAGTTGTGAGAAATATAAAACACTTTAAAAATTGTTTATTTAACTTCTTAATGTATCACTGTTTTTGTGATGTGAAAATAATTAGTTTTTACAACTATGTAGTTTTGACATAAATTGTTATTATTTTTAGTTTTTATGGTATGGATTAATTTTGAGGAGAATTAATTTGTAGTTTCTTGCATGTGTAAGTGAATAATTATGTTAGTTGTAATAATGCTAAAGTTATGCTTAAACTGAATACCTAATCGTAGGCCTCAACCTCTATGTTTTTTAACTTTATATAAACTAACGTGTGTAAAAAAAATCTCTGTAGAACTCATATTTATTAAGTCTGCCTTATTAATTGACTTTCGACTATTCTCATTGAAAACACTCATTAAATGAAATAATTGGCTTACATCATATTTCATGCCATGAGTTACTCGGGAGTTTTTAGATTGAAATCCAGGAATCTCTTCAGCAGGCTCACGTATTTAGGTCCTCTAGAGACAAGGCAATGAAAACATCCCCACAAATTGCCTACAAGTTTTACTTTGCACTCGGTAAGAATGCGATCATTTCCCGGATTTATGGAGAAAAAGAAAAATTTATTAGCCTATTTCAGATATCACCGGAGAGTTGTAAGTGGGTTGTGTGTCTCTACAGGTGACACTTCGATTGCCTCCCATGCACCTGACTTGGATTCTTATAGCCCTTTATAATTCTATCAATTTTACAGCTGAATGTGTCACTGGGGTCCAAATGGGAAATGACAATATTGTCAACATTCTGATGAAAGTTAAGGAAGGTGTGTCATCTGGTCAAGACATAAAATATTTTACACGCATCTGTTTCAGAGATTTTGATTTTTGCAAAAGATTTTGCATAAATAACTTGCATGTATATATGAGCAATGAACAAAAAAATTGAATTATTATAATAATAATTACAAGGACTTCAATATATCTTTTCAGTTTAAGTTTATAATGGTTTACTTAAGTTTACGTCCTTATATAGATAAGGATGATATTTTGGTGATGTCCATTGTGGTGTATTGCATACCATGTGATGACTGTAACAATAAATATATTGGCCAAACTAGAAGGAAAGTTAAAGACCGTATAACTTCCCACAAAAGTGACATCAGACTTAACAAACAGTCTTGCACTTTAGCCAATCATGCATTATTACATAATCACAATGTCAATTATAATAACGTTTGAATATTAGATTTTGAAATGAACTATCACAATCGTAGTTTTTTGGAAATGTGTCACATTTGATAACTTAAGCATAATTTATACTTACTTACTACAATTCAACCATAATATCCACAATGATGAAAACGCCCTGTATGGTATGGAATAATAATTAATGTCCCTATATATAAGACATCGAGCTGTTGGTATCTAATGTCATTGTCCTTTTGGTTTCACTCTAACAAGTTTTTATATCCAAATTCTTTTTGTTTTTTACTTCATAAAAATACACATGTCTATTATAATTCTAAGAATTTAAATTAATATGGATCCTTAGTCATCCATTCATAATGTTGTTAATTTTACATAGTAGTGGTAGTGAATTACCAACAATTAATTATTAGTTTTTTTTACAATTCATCAAGAATTTGTAGTTTGCAATGAATACAACTTTAACTTTAACCTCACTTTCGTAAGTACTTTTCACTTTTTTTCATAACTTAGTTTAACTAATTATAATTTATTGTAGAGTTCCTGATGAAGAAACAATAAAAGTTTCGAAAGCTTGAACAGAAAAAAAGAGTTTTTCTTTTATTACTTGTCACATGACTGCAATCCCCGTTTAAAAATTAAAAATATTTGTTTTTAACATAGACAGTCGTCTAATTTCCCTCTCTGATATATATATATATATATATATATATATATATATATATATATATATATATATATATATATATATATATATATATATATATATATATAAAGTTGCTTTCAGGGTTGAAAAATATAGATTCTGCGTCAAATTACTTGTTTCAGTCACAGCATCATCATGTAACCTTAAAGAACCTCATAACCCCCGTTATTAGAGAATATAAACAACAAAGCTGAACTTTTGAAATAAAAACCCCTTCGACATAAGCTTTTCAATCTTATAGTCCTTAAATTTGAGTTTCTATAACCTGGAACATTTTAACATAACCTCAAATTACTTTATAACCCCGTAACCTGAGATATTGACAACAATAGCCCTCCTGACTTAAACTTTTATAACTCGTAGCCTTGTAATCAAAGCTATCATATCGCACGAACCAGTTAATTAGATTTTTGAATTGTATATAATCTTCACATAACCTTAAAATATCGCAAAACTCTTCTAGTAGAAAATATCGAACTAAAAAAGTAGTGTTTTAAGTGTTTAAAAATAGTATATTGTTACTAGGAGGAAAAGGCGAACATTATATGTTGAGCCCAGAAGTTTGCTCAGCCGAGGCGCAATCCGAGGCTGAGCAACTGGGCGTCAAAATAAAAAAATTACGACTAATTTCGAAAAATGACATCAAATATGTTCAATGTTGGCAAAAAAATAAAATATTGGTAATACTAACCATTTTATTTATTAATTAAGCATAACATGGTACTAACCACTTTATTTATACATTAAACAAGTAACATTTGGAACAATTGGAATTAAAATTAAGTATAACATTTTGAGTTCTTAAACATCAAAATCTATATTACTTATAGGTCTTTCCAAAAACCATTATTTATTAACATGAATATTAAATGTGCAATTCTGTTTAGTACAGTTGTTTGCGTTTAAAGCACTGCTGGCTGTGTTTGTTTCTAGAATCATAGTTCTGTCGAATACATTACTTGTAATAAGATTGTCAGTTTGATTGTTCAAAATACTTTCATTGTTGGCAGAAAATTCTTCAGTAAAAATGTTTTCAGTTTGACTTGAAATACTGGGCTCATTATACTCTAATGGGTTTAGTATTTTCATCGCTATCTGTTTTTTGTTGTTTACAAATTCTTCAATGTATCCTTCTGCAACGCTGGTGGATTTCCATCCACCATGTCGCTTTAGGGTTGTTATATCTCTACCATTATCAACTAAGATAGTTGCCGGGCTTCTTCTAAGGCTACGGCCTGCATATTCATATGAATTTGGCAACTTTAAAAACGACGCAACATCTCTTGCAACGTTTGAAATTTTATATATGCCCATCACAACACGATGACGATGATCATTTTGATATTTAATAAAAAATCTACCAAAAGTTATGTCTTTTGGCCGAGGAGTAGCATATTTTCTGTATAAATTTAAACAAAAATCTCCAATTATAGTAAATGAACGATGTCTTTTAGTTTTTGTGTTGGGAATATTTACTAAGATTAAATCTCCCAAATCTTCTATATCATTAACTTTTATATGAACAAGTTCATCGCATCTACAAGCTTCTGTGACTCTAAATATTGGTACAACCTAAAAAATATACTATATTAATTTTATAAAAGTAAAATAAAGTTAGAAAGAGCAAAAAAAAAGTTAAAAGTATAGAATTCGAACCATGGCCTTCAAATTACGAGTCCAACACTCTGACCACTGAACTATATTCGGACTTAACCAAAGCATTCAATTCTTTTTATCTATTATTTTCATAGAGGATATAAACTACCTAACTGAAATTTCACAAATTATAACAAAATTTTATATTACAGATATGAAAGGGTTAAATATATAATTTTAAAATGCTTTATTAAGGAATTCATCAAACTCTTCTTTACACAAAACTTTTGATTTTTTAGATTTATAATTTTCGCCTTGTCGCTTTAAAAAGGCAATTAATTTAGAATAGTTGTCAATTTTTACATTGTGTTCGATGATTAATTTAGATTTTACCATTGAATATTACGCCCATAGAGTTGAATTTTTCAGTTTTTTGGATAAATATGTAAAATATGTTATCATCATATTTTCCGAATACATAATGTACGTTGTTGTCCTTGGCCCATTTTATAAATTTATCGTACGCATTATCGTAAACTTTTTTGGATTTCACGGGAATTAATGTTGCCACTGATGAATTTGCAATTTAAAGTAATTCAGGTGGTATGCACTGCATTTCCTCAGACATTTTTGCTTTTAAATTTGAAAACCGACCCGACGTGAAATTTAAAATTGACAGTTATGACAAGTCATAGCTACTTGGATTTTTAATTCGTTGTATGATAGGTACACTGCATTAATTTCACTGCAGAGTTCATTAAGATTTAATGGTCTATATTTCATGTCACTATTTATAAAAATTGCTGGCCGCAATTTTCAATTGTGGACCTACAATAATGAACTGCAAGATTGTGATTGTTTATTTTACTGTTTTATTTAGATTCCATTAAGCCAGTGCTCAGAGAGACAAACTACGGAGTATCTATGATTTTCAAGGAAGTTGGATAGTTGGTCTATCTTATTTGAGAGACATTGAACATTGATATGAAATACACTAGTTACTAACCCTTTTGTATCGTCGCTGATGGCTTCTGAAAATGTTTTTTGGGAGGAAATTTGTATCATTGGATTGCGGCTCCAGGGTTTTAGGATCGTAGACATGCATCACAAACTCAATGGGCAATGCCTGCTTATAAGAAGATGCGCGTTCATTTCGATTGAGATCCTCGCATTCGAAATTAATTGTTGCAGAGCTTTCCTTTAATGTTCTTAACAATTCGTCAGCTGTAGTTTCAGCACTTATTCTATAAACATGCAGGTAGCCTTTTTTGGAACGGTTCAGACTGATACTTCAACCGATTATAGGTTTAAACATATTGACTGTACTGTTTATATGAGGGGATTCTGTCTAGATTTGTTTATATTTCTAAATATATGTTTCTTGTTCAAGTATTTGTGAAGTTTTTATTGAAATATTTCTATTTAACGTATTGTTGTGGATTTAATGCATACTAGTAAATGACGTTACATGTTTAACGTTACCAGTATTACTAATGTTCAATTGTTTTAATAAAATATTAAGTCCTCCTGTTCATAAGTCCTTTTTCTAGATGATAATATGATAGTTTACTTAGACTTTCCATTTTGTTTTTGAGGATCCAAATTTCGGATTTTAATTTGTCACAGCTGTTGCTGTTATTATGTTCCTCAGTTATTATCGAGTCATAGCTATCCATAAAAACATGATTTTCACTATTTATATTGAACTTTTCACAAAGATTAGTTGCATGATTTATTAGTTGTATATTTGAAACACTTTTTGGGAATTTTAAAATCATTATTACATCTATTATTTCATGTTTTTTTGATTTATTTAATTCCGTAGCTATAATCGCGCCTTTGTCTACTGACGCCATCTTGATATGTATTATATAATTTGTGATAATAAGACCTTTTATTGTAACTTAAATCATTTAAGACGACTTCTCACATGGGTAAAATGATAGAGAATTTAATTATATGGGAATATTCATAAGCCGCGTATTTCTAAAGTGAATTATACCATTTCTTCCGGCTTACTACATCAATAGATGTTATCATTCATTCATAGGGCTTGATTTTTTTTAGAATCATAAAATGTAAGTTATTCTAATCCGTAAATAAATATATCATAGCAATAAAAACCGACATTCTGTTTAGAGATACATTCTGTCTCTATAATTTCGTTACTCATCGACTTCTCTATCTAAAAAACATATTATCGTAATGCGACATGTGCTCTACGAAACTTTTAATCCAACGTAAAAGTTTGAGTTTCCCTAGTGACTAAACAAAAAACAAAAATAAACCCCGCTGCTTTCTCGGAATATAGATGGTCTATATTAATAAGATATTGATGACCTTCTGAATATCTATACATAATTAAGTTTGCGCAGGGAATAAGTAAAGAGTACGGAACGTGGTAAATAAGAATTTTCTGACGGCGCGGTCTTTATATACCTCAGATCTCTTAATTAGACCACTGGCTGCTTATCCAACTTCGTAAGCCTAAAGCATTGATTAGGATCCCTCAATATTGGATGGATAAAAAGATTAACTTGAAATCTTACATTTCTGGATCTTGACTTTAATTTTCCGATGTTAAGCTTGATTTTATAATTTGGCATAAAATTACGAAACTATACATCAGCTGTGTACGGGGTTTATTTAAACTATTTAAATTGCAACTTCATCAAAAGTCTTTTCGGTTCAGCCTGCAGAGCAGTGCCCTTTAAAAATAGTGATGAAATTGCAAATGATGTGACAGTGTTTCAAACAGTTAAGAGAATTCATAAGAGACTAAGGCTGTCCAAAGGATTCGACTAATCGATTAATTTCATTTGGACTAACCGACTTTTTTGAGTTTGGATCTGAGTCTATCAACTAATTTTATTCAATCAGCTAATTTTAGTCTGTCGACTAATATTTAGTCGATTCGATTAAAAAAATATATTTCAGTCGGTTCGAGATTCGATTCCTTGTACTAAATATTCGATACGATGATGTTTATGTACAGCATGTTTCATAATTAAATACCTTTCTCAAAGGGGTGATAGGACTAGAAAAAATAAGTTGCGTTTTGTATATAAGCATTTACTTTAAATCAGTCAATAAGGGAGTCTTTAAAGGAGATAAGTACAACATAACTACTTGCCAATAAGTTCAAAACGTTAAGTTACAAACATTGGACCATTTATTAATTTTATAATGTTATATATTGTGTAAAATTTTTATCTAAATACCATGATTTGTTGAGGTAGTTACATGGATTTTTTTATGCAGTTTTTAATACTAATACCTTTTTCCGCTTTAAATGCTAAAAAAAAAATAAAAAAAGTTATAGAGAAATTTTTTCTTCACGCCTCTGTAACCACACCAACAAATCATGATATTTAGATACAAATTTGACAAAATATGTAACATTATGAAATTAATAAATAGTCTAAATTTAATTTTTGCAACTTTTTGAATTTATTGACAAATAATTATGTTGCTCTTACCCCCTTTAAGAGGTTGTAGCTGCCTTATGAACTAATTTAAGGCAAATATATATATATATATATATATATATATATATATATATATATATATATATATATATATATATATATATATATATATATATATATATTTATATATATATATATATATATATATTTTCTAGTTCTATCACCCCCTTAAAGAATTGTACTTAATTATGGGACACCCTGTATAGTTCAAATGGATTATTAGCTATTCCATTCTATATAATAATACCTTTATTTAATAATATTAAGAAATCATCCATTCAAGTTTACTAAATGGTTGTTGATTGCAATTATGTCTATTTTATTAGATTTGTTTATATTTCATAATTCTCCATAAAGAAAATGGCAAATCCTAATTTATATCTTGATGATGTGGCTGAAACTCGAAAGCTGGTCAGACTAATGAAGTTTTATTTGTTTTTATATAGAAAATAACCATAAGGTTTTTTGTTTTTAAAAATGTTTTTCTATTCGAAAGATGTGTGTGAAAAATTTTTTAATTTCTTTTTCTGTGGGTACTAATATATTTTTTGGTCATATAATTCGTATTTGTTACCTACATCATGAGTGTATATACTCTAGTAAGAATATGTGTTTGTATCCCAAACAAAAATAAACTAAACATATTACCTACTTTATTATTTGGGATTGTAACAACACAGTCATTATCACCATAGTAATTAATTAGAAATCTTTTGAAAGAATTTTTGAGATACCAACGATATCAGATATATTATAGAGAAGCGTCATATAATATTACCAAATTAAGTAGCTTATTCAGTGGCCCAGTTTTGCAGAATGTGGTTATCTGCTTTAAAAACAATATTTTGTAATCTAAATGATATTTAAGCCTGGCCAAGCGATGGTAGATTCAGGGTCAGGCGCAATACCAATGCCATCGCGTGCTTGTTTACGATGACGATAACACGACACACTTCAGTTGTTATCTGTCGGTCGATGCATAGAGTACTAATAAATAATAAATAATGTTGAGCGTAAAGAGTAGAAAACGACCGTACGCTGATAAAGTGAATAAATTTATTGGTGAATTTCCGGATTTATTTTATGATGGATGTAAAATAATTTTTAAAGTTTGTGATCAAAACTTAATGTGCTAAAATAGATACGGCTGCAAAATTAATGTCAATAGTAACCGGCATAAAGATAAAAAAAAAATGGCGTGTCTTCTTTGGAACCTCAGTTAATGTTTGATTTACTGTTAATGCTGATTGCCTGTGATGCTCCCCTGCACATATTGGATAAACCAGCATTTCGGGAGTTCTGGAATAAATACAATCCCCAGGTGAATTTACCAAGTCGTTCATCGTTACGTAGATATGTACCAAGTGTTCGTGAAGACATTGTAAATAGGATTAAATGTGCATTAAAAAATACACGGCTGTGGTTATGTGTTGACGAGACGACAGATTGTAAAAAAAATTCTATTTTAATTGTTATAGTACGTGTACTCGACCCTGTTAAACCAATATTTCCACTTTTACTAGCTAGCAAAAGACTAACTGGCGAAACAATTACGCGGGTGGTGTTGGAGATTTTCGAAAAATTTGAACTGTCAACAAGTCAAGTATTGATGTTTGTGGCCGACGGTGCT